TATCTATCTATCTATCTATCTATCTGTCTGTCTGTCTGTCTGTCTGTCTATCCATTCATCCATTCATCCAGCTATCTATCTGAAAATCAATAACAAATTCAAGTCAACACACATTTATAAAATACCTGCTATGTGTAAAGCACTATATTAGATACAGAAAGAGATAGGATGCAGACCCTGGTCTCTAGGAACTTGTACTGTAATGGGGGAAAGAGGTACCCAAATGACTGTAATATACAGGGGAATGAGATGATTTCAAAGAAATCCAAACAAAGTTCTGTGATCATCCATGGAGGGAAGGGATATTTTCACCTTGAGCAATTGGGTGGCTCAAGGTCCATGGAGGAGTTGGCACATGATTTAGGCCTTGAAAGAAGAAAGGGACTTCCAACAGATGGAGACAGATTTAAGCATGGTGACAGCATGAACAAAGGCATGGAGGTGGGAGAGGACAGGACAAGAACCAGGACCTGAGAGTAGTCTTGTTTGGCAGGAACATAGAGTATATGAAGAGTAAGTGATAGAAAATTAGGTTAGAAGGGTGGTTTGGAGTAAGACTGTGGAGGGCCTTGAATATCAGGATCAGTAGGCAATGGGGAGCCACTGAAATTTTTTGAACACATGAGAGGCTGGTCAGAGATTGTGGAATCTCTTTCACAGTGAGCCTTATGGGGTTGACTATAGAAGAAAAGGATCCACTAGGCTAAAATCAGCCTGAGACCAAAACTTAAAATACCAGAAAGATAAAGAGGAGGTTAAATGATTGCCAAATTGGAACTAATTTATCACTGCTAGAGATTCAAAAGGTTCTTTTGCATCTCTATGCTCTCTCAGCTGAGGAGCCTTGACTCCCTTGGAGGAGAAAGGATTAGTGCTGACCTGTCACAGCCCTATTTTTCTGCTATATTTAACTCTAGGTATCCACAGGCATCACTTGCTCCATGAAACAAATCAAATTAGTGGAAGGAAGTAGGGAAAGGTGCTCAGAGAAAGGTATATGAAAGTCACAACTCAGATGTCTTTTTTCCTGCACCCCACATTTACTGTTGAAATGTTCTCCTGGAGAGGCCTGACAAGCCATAAGAACAAGATAGCTCCTTCTCAGAAGCCCTTCTCTCACTGCAGGATCTCTTTAGGGATGTAGAAGAAAGAGTGTTTGTTAATGTTGGTTCCAGAAGATTTGGGTTCAATTGTAGTAGCTGTGGGACCCTTAGCAAGTCACTTGAACTCTGTGGGCCTCAGTTTCTCCATCCATACAAAGGGAGTAAAAATCCTTGCACTACCTATGTCACAAGGGCATTGTAAGGAAGGCCCAACTTGAATGAGCTAAGTTGCTTGTATTACATTCTTGAAGAGGACCAATGACATCATGAGGGTGATATTTTGACTTTCAGGTGAACTGGATTTAAGGGAGGCAGAGCTGTACAAAGTTGCTGGCCTCATTCTCTCCTCCAGGGCCATTGAAATCCAGTGGTAAGACAACAGTCAAGACTGGTGATGGCCTGGGATGCAGTGGATGACCTTGGCCTTTCTAAATTAAGGTCTTTCACAGGCCTCAGTTTGTCTGAAGCAGCACCATTCAATGATCAAGGGCTAAGCCATAGAGGCTTGGGGTGGGGGCTATTATTAGCCATTCAATAAACCAGAGTTGTTAGTGGGTGTTGGTTGGAGGTAAGTACTATGTTAACTGGGGTAGAAAATGAGAAGCTCAGAAGCTTCCTGGGACAATTGCCTTGGAATCTTAGGAATCCTGTCCCAGAAAAAAAGCCCATATCATCAGGAAGGGCCTTGGCACTCCCCCAGTGGTGTTCCTAGCATTATCGTATGACTTCCATGGAAAGGATCCCACAACAGACAAGAATCTGTGACAGGTTAAAGAACAATGATGATGAAACCAAGGACAAAAACCCACATTGGTCCTTTCCCATTGATGACCCACAGCTATCTAGACAGAAAAAGATGACAACTTTAAATCCTAGCTCTGCCATTTGCTAATTGAGTAGATTTGGACAAGCCACTTCAAAGCCTCTAGTTTTCTCATCTGTAGAATGGAAGTGTTTTATGTGCTGTGAAGTGCTATATGAATATGAGTTTATTATTAATCACAAGAAGATAATAAAAAAACAATGTGAATGGTATAGTGTAGTCCATCTCTGCTAATGGAAAAATCCTACTTGCACAGATAGTTGAAAATAATATATATGTTCCAGATTGTAAGCTTTTTGAGGTGAGGAGGCTACATCTCATTCATATTTGTATCTCCTTCAGTATGTTTGGTCTGGACCTATGATTTCATTCACTTGGGAACTCCAAGGGCAGAAACTCCTTTCTTTGATGCCACTCAGTAATTCATCTGTAACCTGTAGCCATAGAGAGCTGTCTGAGGTAATGAAATATAAGTGACTTGCCCCAGGTCTCAGAGCTGGTATGTATCAGAGGAAAGACTGAACCTGTCTCTTGGATTCCAATGCTGGCTGATCTTCTATCCATGACAATATATTGTCTTACGTTGGACATAGTAGGTATTCAAATGTTAGGTGTTTAAAAACATTTATTGGGGCAGCTAGGTGGTACAGTGTACAGTGTACAGACTGGTACTCAACAGTCTGGAGTCAGGAAGAGTCCTCTTCCTGAATTCAAATCTGACCTCAGACACTTACTAGCTGCATGACTCTGGGCAAGTCACTTAACCCTATTTGCCTCAGTTTCTTAACCTATAAAAAATGAACTAGAGAAGGAAATGGCAAACACTCCAGTATTTTTGCCAAGAAAATCCCAAATGGGGCTGTGATGAGTTGGACACAATTGAAATGATTGAACAACAACAAAAATTATTTATTGAATAGAATTATGTAGAGAACAGTCATAGAATTATATACTAGGTTTTTATTTTTTTATTTTTTTTTTTATTTTTTGCTTTTTTGGTGAGGCAATTGGGGTTAAGTGACTTGCCCAGAGTCACACAGCTAGCAAGTGCCAAGTGTCTGGCTTGGCTGGATTTGAACTCAGGTCCTCCTGATTCCAAAACTGGAGCTCTATCCACTGCGCCACCTAACTACCCCCTATAATAAGTTTTTAAAAAGTACATAATGTAAAGCTGAAAGGAAGGTGAGAGGTCATCTAATCTAGTATTTTTTGAACCAAGACTATTCTGAAGACTGGTAAATATATAAACTGTTTACTACGAACCATTCTACTCTGTGCAATCTTAGCTGACCAAACACTAGAGAAGAGGGTTCTGGGAAAATTGGGGCCTAGGGAAGAGGAGAAAGAGGGTGAAGAATAAGTATTTTTAAGGTTAGAGGCTATTGTTATTGTTTTAAAAAGAAGGACCCTTGGGGCCTCTAGACGGCACAGTGGATAAAGCACCAGCTCTGGAGTCAGGAGGGCCTGAGTTCAAATTTGGCCTCAGACACATGATACTTACTAGCTGTGTGACCCTGGGCAAGTCACTTAACCCTAACTGCCTCACTAAAAAAAAGGAAAAAAATAAAAGAACTCTTTCTAATAAAAATTTTGCAGATGAGTAAAATTTACCACAGACTAATGATGGTCCTTGGACTAGCGGTTGCGAAAAATTGAAACTAAATTTTTCATTTTCTAGATAAAGGAATTGAATATTAGAGAGGTTAAGGGACTTGTCCAGGGTCACACAGCTAATTAGTACCAGGTCTCTGATTTTGAATCCAGTATTATTTTTGCTCTAACACACTACCTCTCTCAACTTAAGAAACAAACAAAATAAAACTAACATAGTAACTTATAAAAGAGTATGTTGGATGATATTCTTTTTTTTTATCCACACAAGAAGTTTTAAAATATGTTGTTATTTTTATTAGCATAAAATTCAAGCAACCAATATTGGAACACAATTGTGGAAATTTCCCATCATTTCCCAAGCTTCCTTGTTATGGTTTAATTAGGGAATTGTAATGAATCTTTCCATTTAGAGTTGGCTGATTTACCCATTCAGATATATTTTTGAGGGGCATTTGGTGGGTGAAGGTATATACTGAAAGCAATTTTATAAAAATGGATGTCTATCAACCACTTTTCTGTGTCCCTTAGTCAGAGATTTTTTTTGTTAATTCTTTTCCATTTAATTTGAATTTCCTTCTTCTGCTGATAGTATTGACCCTCTGTTGCTGTTCTCTACCCCTTTGCATTCTATCCGTAACGTGGAAAATTAGCCAGGGCTACTTCAAAGGCACTACTCCATGGGTTTTACTTAAACCATCCTCAACTCCTTTCTCCCCTCCATCACATCTTGTTTCTCTCTCATGCTTTGTCAAAGACCCCACAGCCACTAAATGTCTATAGTGGAGAAGGAAGCAGTGGTAGGGCAGGTTAGTCAAGGCTGTCTTAATCTAGAAAGCACTGACCTAGTATGACAATTTGGTTCCTTTAGTTTTCCAGTGACTAAAATGCATACATAGCAATACAACCAATTCATTTGACGAATTGGCATACATGGTGTAGAATTTTTTAAAAGTATAGAATTAAGCATTAAGAGATCTAGTTCATTGTCCTGGCTCTACCACTAACTAGCTAGGTATCCTTGGCAAAGCTGATTCCCTCAGCTTCAGTTCCCTTGTTCAGTCTTCTTTTCTTACCACATCCTAAAGCAATAAGTAATTTAGTAACAAAACATATGGCCTGGAGTCAGAATTACCTAAGTTCAAATCCAGGTTCAAACACTTAGTAGCTATGTGAACCTGGGCAAGTCACTTAAGCTCTATCTGCCTCAGTTTCCTCATCTGTAAAATGGAGATAATGATAGCACCTATCTTCCAGGGTTATTATGAGAATCAAATGAGATAACACTTGTAAAATACTTAGCACAGTGCCTAGCACATAGTAAGCACTATGTTAGCTATTATTATGTAAACACATACATATATAATATCTTCAGTAATACCTAACATCTTTATCTTTTCAATGCAAAGGAGAAGAAACATCCCAAACGTTTCCAAACACCTTCTGGTTTTCTTTTTCTCCAGCCATGCCAGAGATGATTCAGCCCTATCCATGTCCTCTGTTCTGGATGGAGTATGAAGGTTACTGCTATAGATTCTTCCCTCTTAATAAGACCTGGGCTGAAGCTGACCTTTACTGTGCAGAGTTCTCCACTGGGACAAAGTCAGCCAAATTGGCTTCAATTCACAGGTAAGCTTAGCAGGAATTTGTTACCTCTTGCTACCTCTCATGCTCATGACATTCTCTTTTTTGCTTGGAAGGGGTTGGGTGAGAGTTTGGGGAGGATGAGTAGGGGATGTTTTCCAGGTGGAGTTTCTCTTTTGCAATTGAAAATAGGTCCTATCCAGGGTAATTTCTTGTTGAAATCATTCTTGCCATCATAAGACAAATATTCAGATTGGCTAGGTGTATCAGTCTGGGAAAGTCCTTGAACTAAATTTGTTTCATCATCTGTAAAATGGAGATAATAATAGCAACTACTTCTTATATTCACCTACTTGTTGTGAGGATCAAAGGAGATAACATATGTAAGGTATTTTGCAAACCTTAAAGCACTATACAAGTAATTATTATTATTATTAATAGCACTATTAACAAAATACTGGCTGAAATTTCCTTTTATCAACTGGCATTTTTCCTATAGAGGTGTCATTGCAAGAAATTTTAAAAAATCATGATTCTCTCCAAAGATCACTAAGTCAATCTCAAAGATCTTCATTAAGGAAGAAGGTGTTCTTTTGATATACCAATGGAGATATTTGAAGGGGGTTAATTATCTTATCTGGATTGAAGATGTCTTCATAAACATAGAAAAGATCTCAAAACCCCATTAGATTGTGAGCTCCTCAAGAGCAGGGATTGTCTTTTGCCTTTTTCTGTATCACCAGCACTTAGCACAATACCTGGCATGTAGTAGGTGCTTAATAAATGCTTATCAATTGATGTTTTGGGTTCAAAATCAATTTTATGAATAAAGATATGAATTCATGGTTTAAAATTTACTTTAGGATGTGGTATGGTTTCTTCCCTTTGTCACATGCATTATGACCTGAACACAATCAATGTACTTGATTTGTGGCCTGCAAGAAAGGCTGACTACTTTGCACAGCCCTGTCTCACTTAAATCCAATTTATGCACAAGTCAAGACATCATCCTTGTGATATCATTGGTCTTCTCTGAGAATGAAGGACAAACAACAACAGTAAAAAAGGCAGCCTCACAGACTCAGTTGGGATTACTTGTCGGCTATTCTAACCCAGAGACAGTATTCTTTCTGGTATCCCCTTTCTTTGTGGGACAGAGACAGGATGCCATGTCAATCAATCATCAAATATTTATTAAATGCAATAAAAAATTAAAATTAAAAATATTTATTGTGTCTACTACATGCAGAACATTTTGCTAGTCATTTATGGTAGTGCATTTAGAGAAGTAGGGCAGCTAAGTGGGACTCTGAAGTCATAAAGACTCATCTTCCTGAGTTCAAATCTAGCCTCAGACACTTACTTGCTGTGACTAGGCAAGTCATTTAACCCTGTTTGCCTCAGTTTCTTCATCTGTAAAATGAGCTGGGGTGGGAAATGGCAAACCACTCCAGCATCTTGGCCAAGAAAACCCCAAATAGGGAAACAAAGAGTCAGACATGGCTAAAAATGACCAAACAACAAAACAACAACAAAATTTAGACAATTATGACATGTTCTCTGCCCTGAAAAAGTTTACAATGGCATTGATGAGACAAGAGATGTAAACACAGGCAAAGCCCATTTTGGGGGAAGTCCTTTAGCTTTCTCTTTCCAGCATCAGGAGTGAAGGAACTTTCTTTCCTTCTTCTTCCACTGAACATTTGTTCAGTATCTACCTTCACCTTTGGATATTGTACAAATCAGTTGATCATGGTCCCTACCCACTAGGAATTTATAGTCTGACTCAAACAGCATTGGTAATATTCGAAGACCTAAGAGCCTGTTCAAGTATAGAGATTAGCTGTCTTGATATCGATGTTAAAATGTCAGTCGATCAACTAGTCAAATCAATAAGCATTTATTTAGCACCTACTATGTGCCAGTCACTGTGCTAAATGCTGGGAATACAAAGAATTGTAAAAGACAGTCCTTTCCCTCAATGAAACCCCATTCTAATGAGGGAGATAACATGCCAGTAACTACATAAATACAAGATGTATATATTTGTCTGTGCACACAAGATGAATTGTGGTAGTCTCAGAGGAAAGGCAGTAGCATTAAGGGGGAGCTGGGAAAGACTTCTTGCAGAAGAGATTTTAACTGAAACTTTGAAGGAAGCCAGGAAGCAGAGATGAGGAGGGAGAGCATTCCAGATATGGAGGATAGTCAGTGAAAATTCATGAAGTCAGGAAGTAGAGTGTTTTGAGTGAGGAATAGGAAGGAGGCCAGAGTCACTGAATTGTAGGGTACACAGAGGAGAATAAGGTGTAAGAAGACTAGAAAGGTAGGAAGGAGCCAGATTATAAAGGACTTTAAAAGCCAAACAGAAGTTTTTATATTTGATCCTTGAGGTAATAGAGTTTAGTGAATGGGGATGAGGGTAGGGAGGTGAACATGGTCAGAGCTGCATCTTAGGAAAATCACTCTGACAGGCGAGTGAAGGGTAGGTAGGGGAAGAGACCTGAGACAGGCAACCCAAGAGAAAATGCAATAGTCCAGGAGTGAGCTGATGAAGGCCTGTACCAGGGTAGTAGCAATGTTAGAGGAGGGAAGGCAGTGTATATAAGAGCTGTTAGGAAGGTAGAGTTGACAAGACTTGGCCATAGATTCAATATGGGAGTTGAAGATGTCAACAAGCCTAGGGGACTAGGAGGATGGTGTTGCCCTTGGCAGTAATAAAGAAGTAAGGAACAGGGAAGGGATTTGGGGAAAAATAATGAGTTTAGTTTTTTGTTGAGCAACAAATATTTTACTTATATGTCAGGCACTGTACTAGGTACTGAGGATATAAAGAGACAAAAATGAAACTTTTCTTCAAGGAGTTTATTGAGGAACATGACATGTGCAAATATAAGTATATAGACAAGCTATATCTAAGGGTGTGCTGGTAAATGTTTAATAACTGGTGTCCTTTAAAAATGTATACATGACACATTTTTAAGTTTAATTTGCACTACTGACATTTTCTCCATCTTTTCCAACACGATCTTGTCTTTTACTCCAGACTTGAATGAAGATGTGGACTATGTCCATGCCAAGACCATAACCAAAGTCCACATGCACTCTTAAGCCCATCTTATCCCATCTTCTCCCCTAGATTGTTCCTATTATCATCTCCATTCTGTCTTCAATTTTTCCTGTTAGCTCCTTCTTTGCTATCAACAAACATGTCTATACCTCTTTCATCCTTCAGAAATCTTCAGTTGATCCTACATCCCTACTAGCTTTCATCCTATATCTCCCCTCTATTCCTCAGCTTAATTCTTTTAAGAAAGCAATCTGCAATCAGTGACCCCACTTCTCCTTTAATCTATTCTGACCATTCTGCAATCTGGCTCCTGGCCTCATCCTTTAACTGAAACTGCTTTTTCCAAAGTTACCAGTGCCCTGTTAATCACCAGATCTAATACTCCTTTTTCAATCCTCATCCTTTTTTTACCTCTCTGCAACATTTGACACTGTTGTAGCAAGAGTATCTCTTGATGTTCTCTCCTCTCTAGGTTTCTGTGACACTGTTCTTTCCTGGTTCTCTCTGTCTGACTTATTAATCTTTTTTTTCTGGTTCTTTATCCTACCCAGTTGCCAATCTATTTTCTTTCCAATTGATGGGTTGTTTCCTTGGAAAATCCTTATGTAATTCTGGGTTTGCTGGAGGCAGTACATTTCTTTTTTCTGACACATCAGATGAATCATAGTATCACAGAATTTTAGACAAGATCTGATCTCTACTATAATATGCTGCCATCCAGTCTCCTCTTGAAGACTATCAATGAAGGGAAAATCCACCACCCAATGGAGTTGTTTCTTCTGCTTTTGGACAATTCTAACTATTAGGACGTTTTTCCTGACATTAGACCTAAATTTGCCTCTTTTTTACTTAGTAACTAGATATGATAACACTAATACTGCTACTACTAATAATAATACCTAGCATTTATATAGTACTTTATCTTATCTCATTTTATGCTTGCAACAACCCTAAGAACTCCTTGCCTAAGAGATAGGTGTTATTATCCCCATTTTATAAATGAGGAAACTGAGGGAGAGTTTAAGAAGCTTGTTCAGGGTCATGTAGCTTGTAATGTTTGAGGCTGGATTTAAACTCAAGTCTTTCTGGTTCTGAATGTGGTATTCTATTCATTATACCACCTTGCCACTTCTGGTTCTGCCAAAGAGAGCAAGTCTTAATTCCTTTTCCATAACATTCCTTTAAATACTTGAAAATAGCTGTTATACCCTGTCCTAAGTCTTCTCCAGTTCTTTCAACCAGTCTTTCTATGGCAAGATTGCAAGGCTCTTCATCATCCTCTCCCTTGGACACTCTTCAGCCTTCCTAAATTGTGGTACCCGTCACTGAACATAATACTCCAGATGCCTGACTAGGGCAGAGTATAAAGAGATTTTCACCTTCCATTCCTGGAAGTGAAAGTGATGCCACTCTTAAGGCTACCCAGGATCACATTTCCTTTTTTTGTTGCCACACTGCAGTGCTGTCTCATATTTAGTTTGCAGTCTACCAAAATATTCAACTCTTTTTATAATAACAACAATAATAACTACCATTTATATTGTGCCTACTAAATGCAAGCACTTACAGATGTTATCTCATGGCATTCTCACAACAACCTTGGGAGGTAGATTGTGAGGGATTGTCTGATGTTGGCTACTGCCACGTGAAGGTTGTGGCAAGATGGGGTAGGAACAAGATATTAGGAAGTAACCGGAGCTCACGCTCCCGAGGCAGGGGCTGTGCTAGGCGGAGTTGTGGTGAACTGGGATGGGAACTGGATATGGAGAAGTAACCGGAGCTCACGCTCCCGAGGCAGTGGGCAGTGCTATGTGGAGCTGTGATAAGCTGGGGAAGGAACAGGATACAAGGAAGTAGCCGGAGCACGTGCTCCTGAGGCAGGGGGCTGTGCTACGTGGGAGTGGGACGGCAGAGAACGAGTTCCCTTTGTCTAGTCCCCTCCCTAGGTGCAACGTCAACCCCAGACATCTCCTTCCTGACTTCCTGGGTCACGTACTCTCCCTTTGTCTATGCACTAATCCCAAACGTCTCCTTCCTGTATCCGGTCCTAGCCTCCTGCGTCACGTCCTCTCACTTGGTGCAACACTAAACCCAGACATCCCCTTCCGGTATCTGATCCTACAATCAATGACTAGTAGGTGGGCTGAGGAGGAGGGGCTAAGTAGGTACTTAAGGAACAGTAGAGATTGGAGCTTGCTCTCTCTTGCTCCTGCTCTCTTGCTCTGGCTTTCCTGCTTGGCCTTGCTGCGATGGCCTCTGAATAAAGCTCGAGTTTGCACCTCCTGATCGGCTCGTCTCTGTGTTTATCCGGGTGGGCACTGAAGACTGGTAAGTATGACTCTGGCAGCCTGCTCCTTATAGGAGGAGAGCTCACGGCGCGGCCGGCACAGTAGATGCTATTATCATCTTCATTTTACGGTGAAGGAAACAGACAGAGGTTGTCACTTGCCCAAAGACATACAGCTAATAAGTGTCTGAGGCCAAATTTGAGCTCAGGCCTGTCCTGATTCCAGGCCCAGTGCTCAATCCACTGCATTACCTAATTGCCTCTAACAAAATCTGTACCAACCAGGCCTCCTTCCATCCCTGTATTTTAACCTTTTTTTAGCTTAAGCATAAGATTTTACATTTGGTCCTATTGATAAATTGAAACAAATGGATGAATGTTTCTCTGTTGTGAATGAGTTTCATTCCTGTCACAGAGAATTCCCTTGCTGCCTCCAGAGTCTTGAAGGAATGGAATGGTTCTCATCATTTACACCTTAGGGCACTTAGTACTTCCCAGGATGAAGGCCCTAGCGGCATCCTGTTCCTCCCCCCTCCCCCAAACTCCTACTTAAGCATTCTCAGACTAAAACTAATCCCAGTGAACAACACTCAGTACCTAGAGAACATTGCCCCTTAATAATATATGTGCTTATATATGTTATAAATGCATATTACACACACACACACACACACACACTGTAACGTACCAGGAAAACTCTGAAGTGAAAGTGAAGAATCGTCCCCCCTACCAAAGAAGGAAGATCCCATTCATTTAGCTAAAAGCATGCAGGCCCTTTGAACCCTCACTTTATCCCTAAAAACTCCATCTCACCAGCAGAATCATATCTGGGCCATTTCCATCAGAGCTTTGCAGAAGGTGCAGTAAGTGTGGCCTTTTCAGTATGCCCTCATTGCCAGTTCTTCAAGTGAGAGATAGAGGGAAATGGAATGATGCATGATTATTTTCATATGTGGAAGAAGGAGGGAAGTTGTCTTATCCATAGGTACCATTAATAATCATCATAACAATAATATTAATAATTGGCACATTTATATAGTGCTTTAAAGGTTGCAATTCCATGATCTCATTTGAGCCTCACAACAATCTTGTGATATGGTTAATACCGGTGTTCTTCTTGCCATTAACAGATGAAGACACTGAGGCTTAGAGAGGTTAAGTGACTTGCTTATGGTGACAAAGAGATAAGAATCACAGGTGAGATTTTGAACCCAGGTCCACCTGACTTCAAATTAAGCATGATATTGATTAAAAAAAAGAAAGGTGATGGTCTTACCAGTAGAAAAGGCATGAGTCTTCTTGCTCCAAGAGCTGTTTACTAAATAATAAAAGAAAGCAACCACACACACACACACACACACACACACACACACACACACATAAACTTAAAGTACAAGTCTAACTATGTAACTTCCCCATCTCTATCCCCATCACTCATTGAAGTCTATAGGAGTATGTCTGTCTCAGTTCTCTCTCCACTCTAGTCCATTCTCTACACAACTACTGTAGTGGTTTTGCTAAAGCACAGGTCTGACTATGTTACTCCCTTACTCAATAAACTTCAATAACTCTCTATTACCTCTAGGATCAAATATAACCCCCTCTGTTTGGCATTTAAAGTTTTCCATAATCTGACTCCTTCCCATCTTCTTAATCTTTTAATACATTGCTCCCTTTCATACACTCTGTAGTCCAGCCATACTGATCTACTTGCTCTGTCCTCACATATAACTCTTCATCTCCATGCCTTTGCACTGTCTGTCTCCCATGCCTGGAATGTTCTCCCTCCATTCTCAAGTCTCTAACTTCCTTTAAGAGGTAAGTCAAATGCTACCTCTTCCTAAAGTTCTTTCCCCATCATCCCAACTTCTAGTGCCTTCCCCTCTAAGGCTACCTTCCCACTACTCTATATTTATACTGTATGTATCAATTGCTGTGTATGTTGTTTCTCCCTTTAGAATGTAACTCCTTCAGGACAGGGACTATTTTTGCCTTTTCTTTGTATACATAAGCACTGCAAGCAGAGTGCTTGGCACATAGTAAATGCTTTATAAATGCTTGTTGATTGATCAATTGACTGAAAAATGTTATCATAAGACTATGTTATCCTTTCCTTCACAGTTGGGAGGAGAATGTCTTTGTACACGATCTTGTAAACAGCTGTGTGCCAGGGATACCAACAGACATCTGGATGGGACTTCATGACCGGAGACAGGTGAGAAGAATAGCAGCTCATCTACTGAAACCACACATTTAATGAAGGTCTGATATATGCACTATGATTTGAATGTATAGAAGGGTGTAGTTCTTTTATCTTTCATTTTAACAGAAATCTTAACCTAGAATTTACTGTTGTAACCCTAGACCCAAAGCCCATTGGTATGGGATTCTTTCTTCATTGGTGGAGATTAATACCCTACACTTTCATGAGGGTGTTCTGCCAAATCCACCCTACCCCTCATGTAAGCACAAGATATTTATCACCATTATAGATGAGGAAACTGAGGCAAACATAGATCAAGTGACTTGCCTAAGGTCACACAACTGGTAAGTATTGGAGGCAGGATTTCAGGATTTCAGGATCTTTCTGACCCCAGGTCCAGTACTCTATCCACTGTACCACCTAGTTGTCTAATTGTGAACATTTCCATCAAAGATATCGGTTGAAACCCTTAAATTCTCCACTTCAGTGAATCCACTAAACTGCTGGGTAACTTCCTCACTTTTTCTTGATACCATCAGGATATCAGTGGTGTATATGGACTGTCCATTGGTTGTTCCACTTTCTCTACATGACCAGCCCATCTTATTTTTTGATCATACATTTCTTTGATGTTTCTTTTATTTTGGTCCTTCTTTGTAGTTCTTTCTTGTATACTCCTAACTTTTAACTGAAATTTGCTTTATTTCAACCCTTGATTCTCTTTAAGGGCAAGCAGAATTTGAAAAAAAACTAACAAAACTTCATTCACAAGGGAAGGTTCCTATCCTATATATGTCTCCAGCCTTGCCTAATCTTCACCTCTGCATACTAAAATCTATGCAGAAATGTGAATAATGTTCATATCTGTGCCATGTGGTATAAATTCTTGATCTTCTTGCACACCGTTTTTTTCTTTGCCTCTGTATGGGGTATACAACAGGAAGGTCAGTTTGAATGGACAGATGGCACATCCTATGACTACAACTACTGGGATGGAAACCAGCCAGATGATGGCATCCATTCTGCCCTTGAGGAGGAAGACTGTGTACAGATCTGGTATCGCCATAATAGTGGTAGGTACTTTCAAATGGTGAATAGGGTTATAATTGAGCAAGGGAAGAGGATTGGCTGCCCTGGATGCAGCACTGACTGGAGATGAAACATTAAAGTGGGGTTAGAAGGCTCAGAATTAGATTAATGGGACTGGAGAGAATAGTTTCTTGCTCGTCTAAAGTGAATCTAATGAACACTTGCTGAAGAAGAATTAGGAGAGGGCCTATGGGTAGATGCCACCATGATGATATCAGAGTCCTGACTCACCAACTCTGAAATGTATTACTACTCTAATGAAACCAAGAAAGTTGAGTTGTGAGACCAGAAAAGTACCAATTGTTGCCACTAATCCTCAGGTCTGCCAACATAGCAGCCTTTAGGCAGTTTTTAAAAATGGGAAGAAGCGCAATGTCCAGGCTACTGTTTGTAGATATGATCCCTGTGGTTGCAGAGCTGTTTACTGTGGAAGAAGTAACACTGTGTTGTATGTGTAAGGCAGGTGAGATATGTTGGTGATAGAATAATGTGACTTGGGGCCTCTGCTATTTCTGGATGGATGTCCAGGTGTTGTCCCTGAGTTGTGTGAGAGTTGTACGCTGGGCTGGGTTGTGAGTAAATTCCCTGGAATCTTTGGAGAAGAAAACATAGAAGAGTTTGGCAGAGATGAATGTATACCAGCCAGAAGATCAGCAAAAGCTGCATTCCTGAGAACCCATTCCATATCCTTCCCTATTCTTTCAGTTATGCCTATATTGGAGGTCAGAGTTCAGCGGATCCTGACAGTCAGAGTTCTTAAGACCCTAACAGTCCATCAGCACCATTTTCTTCCTCTATGACACAGTAGCTTGGTGGACAAGCTTTGCTCTAATCAAACCTTTACTTTGGCTGTAGGTGCCTTGTCTGGTGTTGAAAATGCTCATTAGATACATAGAAGTGAGAAGAAATACATTGGGTCAATGGCCCTCCCTCCCACTCCCCATTGTGGGTTTCCATGTAAAGACCTCATGGGCCAGAAGAAACTTCTGGAAGAACGTTATCACCAACAGAGAAAAATTATACATGGAGAAACAACTAGAGGAAGGATTGATTCTTTAAATTAGAGCAAAGGTTGGTGGGCTGACCAAATGTGAGTCAACAACCTAGAAACCTGTATAAGAATAAAAATAAAAATAATAATAATAACTGCTAAAACTGAAAGGGAACCAAATACCAGTGAAAAGGATTTGACATAGACTGCAAGAGGAGGTAAATGAGGGAGAAAGGAGGTAGGGAGGAACATTCAAGGAAGAGATATGAGTAACAAGAATCTCCAAAAGTTCAAGAAAATAGGGTCATCCTCTTCAGTACACACACTATGCAAATAAAACATTATATCTCATTAAATAGATGTGTCCCAACAGCCTATCCAATTATTTCTGTTGGGTCAAATTTATTGCAGATAGTTTTACAGCCATCAGTAGGATCAGATTATTCTGATTACTCATCCAACATTTATTTAACATCTACTAGGGAATGGTTCTTAACCCAAAGGTTGTGGCTCCCTTTGGATGTCTAGTGAAGCATATAGACCCTTTCTCAGAAGAATGGCTGTTGCCTACATTCATAACTGATGGAAATGCTAAATTTCACTTGAAGGTTAGTGAAAATAAAGATGTAATTTTTGCCCATCCAAATTTGCAGATTGCTGAAATCTATCTGTGCATATGGACCCACGAGTCTTCATCCTCAAAGAGTTAATAACTCTAGCTAAAGAGTAAAGCGATGCACATACACATGAAAAACTAAAGAATGAGTCAGACATGAGATGTCTGACTTATAATCTATACTACATCCCCAGCTGCCTTTTTACCCTGGAGATGCTTCTGCCTCTGTGGTCAACCTCCTCCTCCCATTTGTGAGTTCTTGCTCAGAACCTCCATTTGAGAAGTGTCCAGGCACAGTTTCTTTCCTGGCTCCACTTCTGGCTCTCCAGATTTTTCCTGTTTGCCCTTCTCTCCCCCTCCTCCATTAGAATGAAAGCCTCTTGAGGATAAAAACTGTCTTTTCTTGTTGCTTGTATTTGTATTCACCGTATGCAGATGTAGTATAGATTAGAAGTGCAAAATAGAATTTAACAAGAGGAAAGCTTAATGAAAGTGCAGTTTTGGAGTGGGGAGTCAGGAGAGGCTTTGTGGAGAAGGTAGGACTTCATCTGGACTTTGAATGATGGGTAGAGACACATAGGAAGGAAACAACACTGGTGGTTGTAATAGTTGGGGATTGTGGAAAAGGGGAGCAAGATTCCTCTGACCCCCTAAAAACACTGACACAAAGATGTTCAGTGACTTGTATAAGGACACACAGCACTGATTTGGGGATATGTGAAAGTCATCCCATCCACCTATGAGTGGGAAATTGATAATGTGATTCAAAGCAATAGGGATAGACTGAGAAGCTTTGCCAGGTCATAGGTGGGCAAGGCAAAAGGATATAAAGGAAAGAGCCCAGGGCTGGGTTGGTCCAAATTCAGACACTAAACTGCTACATGACTTTGGTCAAGTCACTTAACTTCTTCATGCTCCAGATCTTCAACCCATGCATGCTAACTCTACAATAGTGTCAAAATCAAGCAAGAGAGATGTAAAAGAATTTTGGAAAATTAAAAGGCATTATGCATATACAAGATATTATTATTAATAATTAAAATATTCTCCCTCTGTGGCAAAAAGAAACAGAGAGAGCACATTTATTAAATACATGCTATGTGCTAGGTACTATATAAAGCACTGGGAATACAAATTCAAGCAACAAGAAAAGACAATCTTTATCCTCAAGAGGCTTACATTCTAATGGGGGGGGGGGGGCTGGTGCGGAGAGAAGGGCAAACAGGAAAAATCTGGAAAGCCAGGAGTGGAGCCAGCAAAGAAACTATCTGTATCTGGGCACTTCCTCAAATGGAGGTTCTGAGCAAGAACTCATAAATGGGAGGAGTGGGCTGACCACAGAGGCAGAGGCATCTTCAGGGTAAAAAGGCAGCTAGAGATAACATGGAAAAGTCTGTAGAGTCAAAAGTGGAGCGATGAGAGAAATGTGTTTAGATATATGACCTACCTAAGTCAATTCTTATCTCACATTGGTTGGGAGGGCTTTTATTCCAAACGGCAAACCTTAACCCAGATCTTTTGTTCTGTCTCTCTTCCCCAGCCCTAAGATCATGGAATGATAATTCCTGCAGCCAGAAATTCCCATTTGTGTGCAAGATCCCATCAAGGACAATTAATTGACCAACTCTCCTCTTCAGAAATGATCTTAGACTCTCGTTCCTTCTTGTAGCAGTGCCTGGTGCAACACTGATGCTCTGTCCAAGTTAGATTACAATAAAGGCAATTCCCACAGAAAACACTGAAAAATAAACCTTAGCCTCAGGAAGAGGCACACACACACACACACACGCACACACAAACACACGCCTGGGATCCTAGTCTCACCTCTGGGATCAACTAGGTGTGGGACCCTGTGCAAGTCATTTTCTTTCTATGGGTCTCAGTTTCTTCCTCTGTAAAATGAGTAGGCTGGCCCAGATAATGTGGAAGGTACCTTCCAGGGCTGAAATTCTCTGATTTGTTCTCTTTCTTTGCTCATCAAAGACTTACTCCAAATCTCTCTTCATCCAAGCTGTGGTGACTCCTGGTGACAAATGCTGAATAGAAAGAAGAGCCAGGGGCAGCTAGGTGGCGCAGTGGATAGAACACTGGCCCGGAAGTCAGGAAGACCTGAGTTCAAATCTGGCCTCAGACCAAACACTTGACACTTACTAGCTGTGTGACCATGGGCAAGTCACTTAACCCCAATTGCCTTAAAAAAAAAAAAAAAAAAGAAAGAAGAGCCAAAGTTAAAGGGTGAGGAAGGAGTTAGGAAGGAAGAGCTTTAGCTAAAAACAACTCCATATCTCCATCTGGAGTTTGTTAAGTTGAAAAGGAGGACTCATTAACCTTTTAGTCCAATTAAAACAATGGCCCAAAAGGTGTAGGGCGGACAGAGTCTGGAACACCTTCTGGCAGAAAGCAGAGTCAGGCGGCAGTGATTTCTCAAGCAAATAAGGCTGTGTTTACCGCTGAAGTTTCAATGCTCTGAGGTTCATTTGCATATGTGGTGTAGGGAACATAGCTTTGTTTCCCACGAGAGGGAGAAAGCTAAATAGCAGAAGGTTGGAGACAAAGTGTCTATTAGGAAAAGGCTGGGAATTGGGGGGAAGAGATGAAAAAATACTGGAAACATAGAACCATACCATTGGGCTCATCTAGCCCAACCTCTCATTTTACAGAGGAAGAAACTGAGGCAGGGAGCTACAAAGTAACACTCCCCAGGAGACACAGCAGACCAATGCTTTTGATTCCTAGTTTAGTGACATTCCCGAGGTAACCTTCTTTTCTGAAGAAACAAACATTATCTGCAAATCATTTGTGGTCCTGCTGGATGGGTTTGCTTTTGAATGTTCTATGAAGTCATATAAAATGCCTATGCTTGCTTAAATGATCTCCCCCTGAATAAAATAAGCTTACACTTCCTTGGATTTATGGGTCCATTTACTTTGTCCAGTATGTCTCTAAGTGATGGGATTTCCTAATGATTTTGTTGTCCTTCAACAAGATGGAGCAACCTTGATGGAAATGTTATTGGGTAGTTTGATGAAGGCTGTGGAACACTGGGAGAAGAGGGAAGTGTTAGGCAAAGCAACTACCTCCTATGGTACTACCTGAAATGACTGAGGTTAGGTTCTAAAGTTCTTTGGAAATTTGTTGATGATTTATCCTCTAGTGTGGAATCAGAGTGTCCAAGTTCAAGACACTATATCCAAAGGCAACTGAGGTCATTGCCTTTTCTTTTTGCCTCAGAAGAGGAACACTGTTATTATTGTTAATTATTATTTCTTGCATCTGTGTAATACCTTTTAATTTATCAAAGCTATTTTGCATTCTCTTAACTCCTTTTCCCCTCCCTTTCTTTTTTCTTCTCTTCCTTTCTTTTTCCTCTTTTTCTTCCCCTCTTCCTTTCTTTTTCCCTCTCTCTCTCCTTCTTTCTCTGTCTCTGTTTCTGTCTCTGTCTCTTTCCCCCCCTCTCCCACTCTGTCTCTGTTTGTCTCCCCCATTCCCCCTACTTTTCTATCTTGCCTAAGCTGGCCCTGCAGCGGCTACTTGTGGGCCCAATCCTAGTAGCTTTGTAATCCTCTGTGAACACCCTGAGCTTGTTCACTCCATCTTGATGGCTCCATGCTCTTGAGGACTTGTTATATTGGTGTCAGACTTAGTTCAGAAACCTGGTTATTTGGCCCACTGCAACTCAGAAATGCCAGTGCTCAAGAGGTCCATTAACAGAGATCCCATTAGCCAGGATTATAGGGATATGCCAGCATGCCATGCACATTTCTGTTGCTTGATCCTCATACAACCAGACTGTAGGGATATGAAAAGACACTGGAGCATCAGGAAGTTGTAACTTCACTAAAGCCACATAGCAATTCAGTGTCAGAACTGGAAAGAGGAAGAAAGGAAGGGAATAAGTATTTCTTAAGTACCTACTATGAGCCAGGCACTGTGCCAAATGCTTTACAATTATCTCATTTATTCCTCATGACAACCCTACCTACCTCCCGGTAGGTACTATTATCCCCATGTAGATGAAGAAACTGAGACAGCTAAGTGAATTGTCCAAGATCTCACACTTTGTAAGTGTCTGAGGCTAGATTTGAACTCAGGAACTAGCTCTGTTCAGTGCTCTTTCTACTGTACCACACTGCCTTCTCAGGATGAGGACATAGTAAGAAATGTCAGAAAGACTGACAGATGCTCAGAGATCCTTATCAGTGACCAAACTCAAAAAAGCAAAAGATGCTTAAGGAATGTCTCTTTTTCTCAAAGAAAGCAGAAGGCATTCACTCATCTCACTCATTCAACATTTATTAAATGCCTACTGCATGCAGTGCACATCCTGCCCAAGATCTTTTTGCTTGGGCCCCAAGGCAAGCTGTTAGTGCCAGTTAGGAGAATTATGTGGGGAAAGGCTACATGAAGACCTCGGAAGGTATATGTATACATTGCTGACCTGACTTTCATTGCCACAAGGCCTGAAGGAATCTCCCACAGGTGTAGATTTGGAAAGATTTAAGCACCATTTTTCCAATAAAATTTATATTCTGTGTAATAAGTGGGGAGATAGAGTAATGTAGCCTGGAGAAATGAGGCTAGCCCTGCATTCTAATACCAGTTCTCTCACTGACTCCCTCCGTAACTTTGGACAAGTTAATTAACCTCTGTGAGTCATCTGTCAAAGAGACATCATTAATAATATATGTTCATCTCTACTTCTTTATTATCATATCTTATATATATCATTATTATAAGCTCAAATGAGATAATGAATGTAAAAGTTTTCTAGAGTCAATAATGTGCTACACACAAACTTTAGCGATTGTGAAGGATTAGAAATTGCTGACAAATCACAGAATTCAAGATTTTGAAGGTGAGAGCGCAGAAATAATTTAGTTTAATTCTTACATTTTATGAGTGAGGAAACTTAAATTAAATGACTTTCTTGTTTATTTGGAAACAATTCAACTATATTACAGTGTGGAAACTGGCATTTTTGTAGTTGGATTCAGTTCAGATTTCTGTTAAATTCTCAATTAAGAGGTTATTCAAATATATGGTTGTAATTCAATTAAATTATATTATGTTAACATTGAGACTAAGTATGATTTCCCCTCTCTGGGCCTCAATATACTCATCTATAAAATGAGGGAGCTGAACTAAATGATTTCTAAGATTCTTTTGTAGCTCTTAATCTATGATTGATGACCTTCAGACCACCAGGAAAATTACTCTAAATGCAGTTCTTCCCCCTTTTTTTTTTGTCTCATTCATATCTGGGCAGCCTGGTGAAGCCCAGAGACCACTTCTCAGAATAGTGGTTTTTAAACACATAAAATAAAATATAATGAATTGCAAATATTTTGACATATAGTTGTAAAATATTAAGGAAGCAAGTTCACAATCCCAAAAACCCTTCCTTCAGAGTGACTTTCTGACCCCACACCAAAATCTTGGTCAAATATTAACCTTTACTTCCTTTTCCTTCCTTTCAGAAGACTAGGAGGTAGGTGTCATTTTTATTAGTTTTAAGTCTTGATTATTTCCCAGGCAATATAAAACTCTATAGATGATCTAACCCAGAAAATGGGAGTCACTTAAATTCTCAGATATGGTGAGTTGTAATACAACTATATATGAACTGACCATCACATCCTCATCAAAGATGAAGGCTAGACCCTGAGACAGTGTGCTTATAATACTCTAGAACTGGGAGTAAGATCAATGGTGTAACACAGGCCCTCTCTTCAAAGAGTTTACAGTGTAATAGAGGAAATAGGATTTGTAAACTAATGAATATATAAAGGGGAGCTAATGAAGCAAGTAAGGGGTCTAGACAAAGGATTATTTGAAATATGAGAAGGAAAATTGATTTCATCTTAGTGGGAGCAGAGGAGTCAGACTGAAAAGCTAGAACTTGGACTGGGTATTGAAATAAAATATGGATTTCAACAGGAAAAAATGAATTACTATTCATACACTATGCATACAATAGGCATATGATTGTTTGTTTGATGTGTTTATTGAAGGATCATAGGTCTAGAATTGGAAGGAATCTCAAAGGCCATCTAGTCCAAAGCAGTCATTTTACAGATGAGGAAAATGAGACCTTGGAAGTTCAAGTCACTTTCCCATGGTTACATAGAATATGTGGAGGGAAGAAGTACATTCTAGACATGGGTTCAGGTTTATGTGAAAGAAGAGAAGTGAGAAAGTTAAGATGCTTGAGAAACTAGCAATCTCTAAAATCCCTTCCAGTTCCAAATCCACAAACCAGGGAAGGTTGGGTACTCAGCCTGGTTTGCCAAACACAAAGGCATCCTTCAAATGACTCCCCAGGAAATGTGGGGTATCCCTTATCACCTAAAGATGTAAGGATAGACTTTCTGAATTTCTTTCTTGTGGCTCTGGGCAAGTCACTTAATCTCTGTCAGTCTGTTTTCTCATCTGTACAATGAGGATAAGAGCACCTACCTTGCAGGATTGTAAGGCAGATAGGTTGGCACCATAGTGCACAGAACCCTGGGCCTGGAGTCAGGAAGACTCATCTTCCAAAGTTTAAATCTGGTCTCAGACACTTACCAGCTGTGTAACTGTTGTTAAATCATTTAACTTTGTTTCCCTCAGTTTCCTCATCTATAAAATGAGCTGAAGAAGGAAACCACAAATTATTCCGGTACTTTGCCAAGAAAACCCCAGATGGGGTCACAAAGAGTTGGACATAACTGAAAATGTCTGAACAACAACTCAGGATTGTGGTAGGGATCAAATGAAATAACATGTAATGTACTTTGCAAACCTTAAAGAACTATATAAATTCTAATTGTTATCATCAACAACATTATTAGTAGCACTACATGGTGGTAAGCCTCCAGAGAACATCAGAAATATGAATGTTACAGGTTTGGGTTGGTTATTTCTTAGTATCTCAGGAGCTATGGAGATGACCCCTTCACCTATCAGGGACATCATTCAGTTTTCTCTTAGCTAATAGAAATACCTTCTGTTCTGGGCCTGGTCTCCTTGGTCATTTTTTTCAGGCCTGTCTCAATAAGGTGGGTGG